ACAGACAGACAGACAGACAGACAGACAGACAGACAGACAGACAGACAGACAGACAAGTGAAAAAGGCTCTTTCTGATTGCATTTTCCTTCAACTCTTTCCTCATTCACCCCCCTCCCCCGGCCCCCACCTTAAAAACCCAACCACTCCCGCCCCTGTCTTCTGGTCTTCTCCCCTCTTTCTCCATATATATAATGTTATCTGCGTTGATCTGTTCTGTCTCATTCATGCCTTCGCCTTTTCTTGCGTTTCTTTCTCTTTCTGTTTCTACTCTGTTGTAGCAGAATGCTGTTTGTCTTTCTGCTAAAGTATGCTTTCAAACCAGTGCCTGTCAGTATTTTATAGCTGACGCCCACTTTTGTTACCTTCAGGGGGCTAAAATGTTTGTATAAATCCACCAACGCATAATATGTCCTTGTGGGGCAGTAGATAATACCTGTCACTGCCCGGATGATTTACACAGCCCACCAAAATTACTAAATTGCCCACATATGGACGATATCGCCCAGTAGTTTCTCAAGCAGGGGTTGGTTTGGTTGTTGTTTTGTTTTGTTTTGGGGTTGTTGTTTTTTTGGGGGGGGTTGTTTGTTGTTGTTTGTTTGTTTTTTGCAAGTGTATTACAGCGATTTCAATTGCATAAGGTCGTACAGAGCGCGCGGGACAAATTAAACAGTTTTCAGCAAGCAGTTTAAAACACTTCTTTTCGGTGCAGATATTACACAGTCATGGCTCTTGAAAAAAAATCTCCACGTGATAATGCTGACGTCGTATAATCCCAAAGAGGAACAAAACCAATTGGGTTCCCTTTCTGTCACCCAACCCTCATCCCCCTAAAAAATATTAAGAAAATGGTCATTCATTTTTTAGGGGGGGGGCTACACCCCCAAAGTCAAAATTCGGCTCAAAATAATGGAATTTGAGTTGTAGGCATTTTTAGCTTCCTCAGCCTTTCCTACAACTATTTCATCGCATAAGAACCCCCCAAAACCGTATTTTATCCCACACCGGGCGTGTTTGTAACCGACATTTCCTCATAAAGTCAGTATTCTATTTTTCTTTATCGGCCGTTTTCTCAAAACGCGACTTTT